AACCCTGTCACACTGCGTCTGGTTGGAGGCAAGCCTATCTCCCAGCCCTACATCGACATGACTATCACCATGATGGCCTCCTTCGGGATCAACGTGGAGGTTTCTTCGGATGAGCCCAACACCTATCATATCCCTCAGGGTACTTACAAGAACCCTCAGGAGTATACCATCGAGAGTGACGCGAGTTCTGCGACTTACCCCCTTGCGGTTGCCGCCATCACTGGTACCAAGTGTACAATTCCCAATATTGGCTCAAAGTCCCTGCAGGGAGACGCCCGCTTCGCTGTTGATGTCCTGAAACCTATGGGTTGTTATGTTGAGCAGTCCGACCACTCCACAACTGTCAGTGGTCCTGCCCCTGGTCAGCTCAATGGCCTTGCTCATGTTGATATGGAGCCCATGACCGACGCATTCCTCACGGCGTCAGTTCTGGCCGCTGTCGCTTCGGGGACAACTCGAATCACGGGCATTGCTAATCAACGCGTCAAAGAGTGTAATCGGATTGCCGCTATGAAGGATCAGCTCGCAAAGTTTGGCGTGCAATGTAATGAGCTTGAGGATGGTATTGAGGTGCTCGGTAAGAGCCGAGATGGCGGTATAGTGACGCCAGAGGTTGGTATCCATTGCTATGATGACCATCGTGTTGCGATGAGCTTTAGTGTCCTTGCAGTTGCCTCGCCTGGCCCTGTAGTCATCATGGAGAGGGAGTGTGTTGGCAAAACCTGGCCAGGGTGGTGGGACATTCTCTCCCAAACTTTCAATGTCGACATGGTCGGTGAAGAGCCAGACGTTGATGAGGATGACCACGAGAGCCAAGAGGCAGTTTTGAAAGGCTCAGTCTTCATCATCGGAATGCGAGGCGCCGGCAAGACTACCGCTGGTAACTGGATGGCCAAACTTCTGGGTTGGAAATTCATCGATTTGGATCAGGAGCTGGAGAGGCGTGCCGGGCGGACGATTCCCGAAATGATCAGAGGTGACCGTGGGTGGGAGGGTTTCCGTGCGGACGAGCTGGCACTTCTGCGGGATGTCATGGAGAACAATAAGACAGGTCATATCTTCTCTTGTGGTGGTGGTCTGGTCGAGACTCCGGAGGCCAGAGAGATGCTCAAGAGCTACGGCAAAAGCGGTGGCACTGTCTTGTTAGTCCATCGCGACACCGACCAAGTGGTTGAATATCTCAACCGTGACAAAACCCGGCCGGCCTATACCAGTGAGATCCGACAGGTCTATTTGCGCCGCAAGGACTTCTACAACGAGTGCAGCACACATCTTTACTACAGCCCGCACTCCGAATCGTCTGGCTCCAAGGCCGAGATTCCCTCCGACTTCCGGCAATTTGTGCATTCTATCGCGGGCAGAAACTCTCATTTCAGAGACGTTTTAAACAAAGACCACAGTTTCTTTGTGTCTCTGACTGTGCCTGACGTTGATGAGGCTGTTGGCCTTGTGCCAGAAGTTGTGGTTGGCTCTGATGCTGTCGAGCTAAGGGTTGATCTGCTCCGGGATCGTTCCATCGACTCTGTTACTCGTCAGGTTTCGACTCTTCGCGCCTCAGCGAAGAAGCCTATCGTTTTCACGTTGAGGACCGAGTCTCAGGGTGGTAAGTTCCCTGACAGTGCCTACGAAGAGGGTCTCCAGCTCTACCGCCTGGCTTTGCAGATGGGTCTGGAGTACGTCGATGTTGAAATGACGCTTCCTGACGACATCATCCAAACAATAACAGAATCTCGCGGGTATTCACGCATAATCGCCTCTCACCATGACCCTAAGGGCACTATGTCTTGGAAGAATGCGTCGTGGATTCAGTACTACAATCGGGCTCTCCAGTACGGCGATATAATCAAGTTGGTTGGTGTTGCTCGCACTCCTGAGGACAACTTCGACCTTGCCAAATTCAAATCTCGAATGCAGGAAGCGCAGAAGACACCCATGATTGTTATGAACATGGGCAAAGCTGGAAAGTTGAGTCGTGTACTGAACCGGTTCTTGACGCCAGTGTCTCATCCTGCCCTACCCTTCAAGGCCGCACCAGGCCAGATGTCCGCGTCTGAGATACGCCGTGCTCTGGCATTACTCGGCGATCTGGACCCATACAAATTCTATCTGTTTGGAAAGCCCATCTCAGCATCTCGCTCGCCTGCTCTTCACAACACCCTGTTCGGGCAGATGGGTCTGCCTCATCAGTACCATCGTCTCGAGACGGACAAAATCAAGGATGTACGTGAAGTGCTGATGTCTTCTGATTTTGGAGGCGCCTCGGTCACTATACCTCTCAAGTTGGATATTATGAGTCAGGTTGACGAGCTCTCTGCTGCAGCTCAGGCCATTGGAGCTGTCAACACCGTTGTTCCCTTAGGCAAGGCTGACGCCAATGGCCGTCGACGACTTTTGGGAGACAACACAGACTGGAGAGGCATGGTACACGCTCTTCATGACGCCGGTATCGAGGAACAGGCAGACTCTGATACAAGAGGAGCAGCCATGGTCGTGGGCTCTGGCGGGACTACTCGAGCTGCCGTCTTTGCCCTGCACTCTCTGGGGTTCAGCCCAGTTTACATTGCCGCTCGCAACCAGGCCAAGGCAGACGCACTTGCAGCTGACTTCCCCAGCGATTACAGCCTACAAGGCCTGAGCCAGGCTTCAGACATAGACAAGGTTTCGCCGAACGTCAAGGTCGTCGTCAGTACTATTCCCGCTGATCGGCCTATCGACCCCATTCTGCGGGAGCTCGTAGCTGTCGTGCTCAGTCGGCCAGCTATTAACGAAGAGCGCCGAGTCCTCCTCGAGATGGCATACAAACCCAGCCATACCCCGATAATGCAGTTGGCAGAGGATGCCGGTAACTGGACCACAATTCCAGGGCTAGAGGTTCTTGCCTCTCAGGGGTGGTATCAGGTAAGTTCACTTATGGCATGACCATAGCTTGTCTGTGGTAGGAAGGATAGTTCAGCCAACTAATCTGGTCTATTCAGTTTGAGCTCTGGACGGGAATTACACCCCTTTACGAGGACGCCCGCGCAGCCGTTCTCGGCCTATGATGAAAGGTCTCGACTCGAATAAAACAACGACGACGTAATTTGGCACAAGCTGTATGCTCCTGTGTACCGGCCACTTGGTTTCTACTTACAAGGGCGCTCAGATATAAGGTGCAAGAAGGCTATGGCGTTGGTGGAGAGACCGGGAACAAGATAGGACAGTTGAATAGAGTTAAGCCGTGTTGAGCTGTGTTGAGCTAAGGAAGGGCTATGGATATGGCTATGGTCCGATGAGCTGGGGTGAGGTGTGCGTTGCTATTCACAGACAGAATGCATGTTGTTCATTGCTGCGTACGTCGTTCGGCCATATGTTGTTGCTTCTGGTAAAGCTGGGGAAATGGAGTGGCCCCAAGCTGTGACGTTATCCAGACTCTCCCTACTGCCGTGCCGTGCCGCAAAGAGTCATATGTGCAACTCCGTACCCTGGTTTAAGAATTGAGTCAAGTGGATATCTGTGACGAAATTACGGTACACTTGTGAAATCGGCCGAACAAGAACTTGAAGAAGAGTTTACCAAAGAACAACAATACCTTGAACTATGATTCTTGCTTGCTATGGAGCCATTGGACTAGTTTATGCAGACTACTTACTGACTGACTTACTTACTTACTTACTTGCAGCACTTTCAGATTGTATCGTTGCCAGGATTCATACGAAGACATTGCTATACTTTACTAGACCCATGCAGAGAGAGGAGCAAGGGAACTGTAACCCTTGTGACGTCGCTGCATCCATGTCAGTTATAAGTAACCATCACCAAAGGTAGCGAAGGGTTAGCTTGAAACTGATCGGCAGTAGAATAGAGTCGCATCCATCATCAATGCACTCTTATGATCGATTTCAAGGGTCGGATCTACAGTGGTAGCTAGCGCCAGCTGTTTATGAGCGGTCTAAACTTAGGGGGATGCTGCTTACTTGCAGCATTGATATGCATCACGTTGCGATATGCACATACATCTGGCTGTCATTAGGAGCTGGGGGAAGAAAGTACATGTCTTTGAATTTGATGATCTTCTTCTTTTGTGTCGCATTATATCATACATCGTCATAATCTATAATTGTCGCTTGTCTCCAAAAATAACAAAATACAGTCGGTAATGAGCTAACCCTTGCTGTTTCCCGCCCTGTCGACAGCTGAAAGCGCTATTAATCTCTTCCTGTCAATGCAGTCATCAGGCATCATGCATGACGTTCAACTCGCAGAAGCGACTTGACTCAAATTCCAATCCTAGATATCATCTGCCCAAGGCATAAAGACAAAACTCGCTGTAGTAAACAAAACCAAAACGCTCCTGTTTTCTTTTTGTCTAGACCAGTTTCCTATCAATCCAATCCAATTTTTTCCATAACAAACATAAGGTGTTTCTGGCCGGCCAGATGACCTGGTACAAATGTTAAATAGGTAGATACATGCAAGTCGCATAGGAAATTTCCTTCGATGAGATGCCAAAACAACCGAAACAACTGGAATCAGGATAATGTACAATGACAACGAATGACAGTCCGCTATCCATGACGGAAGCCATGTCATCATCAGGGAGTGTCGGAGAGGGACACTGGTCGGTGACTGAAACTTGTGTGGGCCCATATGATGTCATAGGCATAGTGTGTGGGTGGCTCATGACGTAGCCAGATTGACCGGAAAGGACCCTTCCTGCAGGAAAGGGACCCTTAGATCCACCTGCCCGCACTAGGGCCTAGGGCGCTATCGGTTTGGCACTTTGTCGACCAACCCGATTCAAACAAACTGAAGCCTTGCGATGATCGGTCCACAACCGCCAAGCCTTGTTTCGACGGTGGTAAACGTCATGCGGCATCATCTAGGGAGCCCCAGACTAACGACACGGCGCCAATCCTGGGATGACTTGGACAGTATTCCGGGGGCTCCCATCGGCAAAATTCCTGCCTCAGGGCAAGCATGGTGCGTTGGGGCTGGCCGGCTGGCCTCGTACGCCACCGAACTCATGCACCGGCTCTTCGACGATGCTTGCCTGGAAGTTCCACGTCCGGATGGCATACGCGATAGTGTCTGGTTAGAGCATCCGCACGACTGAATGTCTTCTCCTCAGTGCAAAGATCACATCGCACCTTTTGCTTCCGAGCGTTGTGGATGGTGTCCTCGTGGCGAGTGAGATCATATGGCCTAGAAAAGACAGTGTTGCAGGGCTTGCCAGTGCTCGGGTTGATCCTGTCGCAACGATGAGGGCCCGCCTGTGTGTTTAACAGTGCAGATGTCATACCCATATTACGAGGTTGCGAAGGTCCAAGGTTCTGGGTCTGCCTGTGGCCTTCCCGCTTGTGCTTCTGAAGTAGCGCTGGAGTTTCAAATCGTAATGTGCAACCGTGGTATGTGCAAGTGTAAGTGCCGCCATCAGCAGCAGTGCTGCCGGGGCGGGTTGCAGGGGTGACATTCCGCGATTCGTTCGAGCTCGATCCAGCGGAGCTCAAGCGAGGTGGTGTCTCGTGGTTCATCCGCGGGTGTGCAATAAACGGATATTGTTGAGGCACCGAAATTCCATTGGCTGCGTGCGATGATAGGAAGTTGAAGTGATTTTGGCTGTGGGTGTCGTGCATAGATTCCTGAGAGCTAACCATAGACTTTGGGAACTGGTCCAGATCGAAGCCCGAAGAGCTCTGAGGAAACAGAGGGAAATTGTTGTCACCTTCAGACTCATTGAACTCAAGAATCGCATCCTTTGGGGAAATGGTCTTCGGGGTCTCAGGCTCCTGCTTCATGCTCATCTGTTGACGCATGACCTGAGCATCTTGATGTGCCTTATTCTGCTCGCGTATGCGCTGTGCACTGTTGAATGTCAAGTTCTGTGGAAGTCCATGGTTGCCAAACTCATGGGCGGGAGAAGGGGCGAGAGGCGAGCCAGTTCTGAAGGGCGACCTATCTCGCGAGTTGCTAGAGACTGGCGATTGAGCAGCACTTAGATGCTGGTTGTTGGCGGCGTTGAGTCGCTGGCTGAAGACATCGTTTGTAGGTGATAAAGATACCTGAGTTTGCGAGGGAGGGGTTGATGTGATGGCAAAGTTGGGGCTGTAGAGTTCGTCTGCATAAATGTCTGTCATGGTTCTGTCAAGTTTTGGAGCATTGGCAAAACCTGGGTAATAAGAATGTGAGCTTATGTTCATGGATATGAGGCCGTCGTCGAGGACATTACCTTTTCGCCTTCTCTCCGAGTTATCTGCTTCGCCAACTGTAGGAGTAGCAGGTGAGTCACCCGCTATGGAACTCGCCACTGAGGCGGGGTGTGATCGTGATGAGCCACCAGAGAAGTCAGGAGCTTGCATCAAAGTCCGATCCATCCTTGGCTTGCTGCTTGGTCCTGACAGAGTGATCGGATAGGCCATGTCAGGCATAGCATTCTGCTCCAAGCCTCCGCAAGTCTGGTATCCAGCATAAGAAGCCATCGACTTGGCCAGGTGATAATATGAGGGATTGCTCTGGTCGTTTGCGTCGGTGATTGCAATATGTGGGTTCGATGTGTTGTGGTTGAAGGGCGAGGCAGGTCCAGCTGTTGAAGACCCTAGAGATGACAGAGAAGACTCGCGCTGATGAGTCCCACGAGGTAACCTGTGAGTCTGTTGGGCAAGTGCTCCCCAAGCTTCGGGCTGCATGAGGTCGGTGGGAAGTTGTTGACTCAAAGCAGTGATCTCGTCTTCGTAAGTCGATCGAGGAAGGTCAGAATAGGTAACAGAGTTGTATTCGGTATGGCAGTTCTGAGAGTAGGGAAACTGCTGGTGCTGCTGAGAGTTGGGAGAGTTGTGTTGTAGTTGTTGTTGGAGCTGAAGTTGCTGTTGATGTAGTCGAGGGATCGATAACATGGTGATGTTGTAAAAGATGAGTTTATGTTTAGAGTTGAGAGAATGTGGCGAAAGGTGGGAATGGTCGCTTTTTAAAGAAAGCAGGGACCGTTTAGATGAGCAACAAGGTGTGAGTGATGGAAGCCAAAAGACTGATGGATAAGGTACCTACATAAGGTAAGGGAAGGTTAGTAGGTACAGTACAGTGCTGGAGTCGATGAAGTCACTAGGTGCACCCCCACGGGGCCAAAACTAAAAAAGACCCTGGGCCCACTCGATGATGCACAGGACAGCACCGAGGCCGGGATCTGGAAAGAATCGCTAGGTACCTAGCGCATGCCCCAACAGAAGCCGTGGAGGAGGGTACCGCAGCAGGAAGTGAGTGAGGTCGATTTGCGGTATGTAACCCGGTATATGTAATGGTGGTGTGGGCTTGATGACTCTTGGACAATTCGATGCGATGAGGGTGGGTGCCGTACGTGTGGTATGCAACCTCGACAGGTTGTGAAGTAATTAATGTACCATGGTAGGTAAGTATGTCGTGGTGTGTGGATAATGTATATCGTCACGCCAGGCTCGAAGGCGTTGTCTTGCTTCGTTTTTACCTCCTAGGTCAGCGGCGGATTGGCAGTTATGCGACGCGCTACTACGTAAGTAAGGTAGGTTTAGGTATATGTGTGTGTGCACTCGCTTGCTCCTGGTGAAATAATAGATGAATGATGGCTGATTGATCATGGATGATGATGCTGATGATGATGTCTGTCTGGGTCACCCATTCGATATGACAATATGGTTGCTGATCTTCCTGCTGCTTCAGGTCACTTCCGGTACCTTCTCAATCGCCGTGCACTGACGATAATTTGTGGCCATACGCATAATCCTCTCCTCTTGATTTCAAATATCCCGTCCCTCTTCCTCTCCCTCCTTGCGAGACGAGCAACCGAACAGCGAGGTGTTGGCTGACTGACTAATTGGGCCCCCAAGCCCTCCCGCAACGGACATGTCCACTCCCACTCCGGGGATCCAAAGATGCATGCCCGTATCAAGCAATGGTACGTATCATTTAGGTTTGTTCAAGGTTCGGGTTCAAGGGCCAAGGCCAGCTTGCACCCAAGGCTGCAGGGCTCTGACGCCGGTAGGGGCCCATCAGAACCGGTGCCCAATAGGCTCTCTCAATCCCTTGGACTCTGACGCTGTTCAGGAAAATCTTAACCCGGCCCAGGCGCCCAGCACGCTCAAGTTTTTTTTTTTTTTTGACCTCTTCAAGGTTCCACTGACGTAGTCTAGCCCCGCCGATCCTCCCACTTGTTGGATACGTATCTCCCTCGCGCCGGCTCCCTCGCACAGCCACATCTCGTGGTTTATCATCTGGTGCCGACGCCACTCTTTGATATTCCGCCACAATCCATGCGAATCTCTACCCCACCATTTCTAATCACATGATGACTCTTGGTCAAGGTCACATGAGACATGTCGTCGTATGTTGATTCATCACGGTTGGAATTTTCGACTCAGCTGCCAGATGTTAGCCAGTCCTGGGGAGCCTTGGAACTCAAATCAGGGGAGCTAAGAAAAAATATTCGCAGAGTCGTCGTATGACACGCCCTATGGTGTGACTAATCATACCATGCATGTACAGTACAAACATGTATGTGACTGTCTCATTGATTCAAGACAACACCTGTTCAAGCGTTACCGCCTACCCGGAGGATACTGCTCGATAGGGTAAAGACACAAAAATAAGAAAGAAAAAATCTCTATCCCATGCTCCCTATTGACCATGGGGATACGGAGTACACACTCGCTTGACGCAGGAACCGACCCTGGTCGCATCTCGCTGGTCGGGAACAGTTCAACAATCAATCGATGAAATGAAATGATATAATTGGATGAACATTTCTTCGAATTCTTCGCTGCAGTGCATTCTCGGCCTGACCGATCCGCTACCAGCCGTCGGATGCAATCGGACTTTGTGCTCCAGCCAATCAGACGTGTGGCTCGTTGGAAGCTAAGCCACAAGCTCTAATTTTACAGTCCATTTTCAAGCTGCCCACCCAGATCGATCTCGTTTGGTCCCGCCTGTTTCTAGAAGCCTTTGTGTTCTGTTTCTCCGTGAGCTGACTGAGCTGCCTCCATGTCCCAGCCCAACGGGTTTTCCGGCACGATTAACTCCTCGGACAGTTTTGATGATCACTTCGATTCCCCGATGCTCGGACAGAACTTCCCATTATAGATGGTCAAGGAGCCTGGAACTCTTTTTGATGATAACACCTATCCGGAAAGATGCATGAGTATTTCTGCAAGGTAGGCAAACGCTTCGGGTGAGATAACTCGGCACTTTGAACCAGGACCATATGGATGGAACTTGCGGGCCATAAGGTAGGCACCAAAATAAAATCCTTCATCGTTGGAACCACCTTACCTTAGTACTTACCTACCTGGGTCTGTGTAAAATAGGTATGCAAGATGTAGGTATCATTTGGGCCGGGGGTGCGACTTTGTCGGCAAAAGCTCATGACTTAAGAGTTGCACCCCATGTTCATCTCGATCTTGCTTCCTTCCCCGGTCCGAGAACCAAGAAGTGACATGCACAGCGTCTACAGGTAGTTACATACTCTTTAGGGAGCAAAAAAACTCAAGACTTGAGAAGAGGATGCCAAAATAAACTTAGCAAGGCGGCCCTCTAAGCTTAGGCTAGATTTACCTAAATAATTTTGTGGCTCAGGGTCAAGTACCTGAGTTTTCTTTCCTCCCTAGATACTGCAGCGTGAAATGAATATCAGCTACTGTAATTCTCAGCTATGCCAAACGTTTATTAGCCATGGTGTAGCCTACCTGGGACTAGGTGCTGGTCTTCCGTCCGTTGGGTCCGCGTAGGGCTGGCGGCGAAAATCTCAGCACAGTACCCGTACCCGCAACGGCGGCGGCTGAGGCCGGCACCGGGTGATCCATCTATCGCTATTAGAGTCTGAGCATCTATCTCACTACCAGCGCAAAGTATACCCGATGGCTTATAGTAACCAAGGTACCGATAGTCTTTACCGACTGTCTGTACGTGTGAATAGTGTGCCAATGTGTTTCCCCTAACACTAGATGTGATGCAATTTGCACATCGACATCTTGTCAGCCATCCGGCTCTTCAATCCTCCGATTTAGTTGTCGTCGGCGAACAGGATGAGTAGAGGATCAATAGAGCTGAGCAATCACCAAGCTGTGTGAGAAACAATGCTTGATTGAGGCATTGTTATGCTACGTTACAGGGGTAGACAGTACACTATTCGATTCGATGTAAGCTGGTACCGACTATTCAAGAATGGTCAAGGCGTTTCTCGGTACGACATGGTTGTTTCATCATTCGTTCCAAATATCCATCTCGAAATCTACAGTATATTTGTTGTCCGCACAGATAGATCTGATCATCGATATCCAGCTTCCACCGTTCGGCTTGTCCGTGTAGGGGGGCTCATGCATGCATAGCTTAATGACAATGGGCTATGGATTTGGTCATGGCCATTCATTCATTATCTCCGGCGCTCTCGGGTTTTCAGAGTAATCCGATCATGCCTAACTCCCAACTTCCCGGAGTCATTTGTAATCCCCGTCATCATTTAGCCACCTTCATGGCTGAGTAATAGTTGATCAATGCAAACGGTCTTTTTTCTCCTGCTGTTCATCCGTACCTAGGTAGTAGGCATGAGCCAAACCTGGTAAATTCCGCTCCCGGTTGTGTCTGCGTCTGCAGCGGCCTCGACCTAATTTTAGCAAACATCCACGTGGTCCAGGCCCGACGATCCTTTGTTCTCGCCACCCGTAGGCTCCGTAATCCGATACCTTCGGCCGATTGGCAAGAGCATGAGATGTATGCGAATATTGATCTATCGAGTGACATGCCTGCCTGTATCTGTTCTCCCTTGCTTAGTACATACCTAATAATCTACGGGGTCGCAAATATGTTGCGTATCGGCCAATTTCAAGCCATTGGGTAGTTAGTTTCACTCCGCCCGCAGTTGCCAAGCTTCAGAATGCTGATCACCAGGCGAGATATAGACTGTTCCAGAACCGCAATTATTCGGTCACCCAAGGCCTGTCGCGTTCGTATTCTCTCAGCCGACCCCAATGAATACGCAGTGAAGTGACTCATTGGTGGAGGCAGTGCAACAGCGATTATTGAGAGGTTACCAGCTGTCTCCAACTTGACACCCGGTTTTTGATGTCGGTCTCCAGGGTAGGCGGAGATCTCGGCAGCCTGGGCAATCTGACGCGAGTGAACAACCAATACATTGACATTAAGACCAACAATGTAATCATTTTATTTATTTATCTTTGAAGAGGGTTCATCTGGAGCTGCCACGGGTTTATGCTGACATTTTTAACGTGAGCCTTATGTGGAAGCCTGTTCCAGAACGCGAGTATTGAAAATCATCCACATAGATGAGACATGCCAAATCTCGCGACGTTAACCGCATCCTTCGACCAAAATATACCCTACGAGGATCTACATCCATATACTCAAAAACTCAGTGTAAGCGGAAAGCTGCACGGCGTACGTGTTAATGACAATCGACATAAAGATGGACATTACTTCATGAAATGCTGTCAACTATCCTAATCGTGAGGAATCAGACGCGTTCATGGAAGCATTGATAGCGACATACACGCAAATATGCCTCAACGGCATGCAACGTGCATGGCATCTACTCGCGTCCACAACCCAGCACATAACAGCCATTACATCCGGTGCGCGACAGGCTGAACACGTGGGCAATGTCGAAGTTCACAGACGGCCTACGTAGTACAGCAGGATGTTCACAGCAATTCAAGGAACATGCACTATGTGATGATCAAGATCGCCTCGAGGGCATGTTCGATTATCCCCGAATGTAATCCCCCGTTTCCCTATGATACATAACACCCAAAAACAAGACCGGACCCATTTGTCGTCATGAAACACCCTACATGGTCCTGCGCAGCAAGCAGTCGACCGCAAAGATTCGTAACAGCATGTAAAACAGAACGCGCTT